CTCAGCCAGTGAGCCGCCGGTCTGCACGTGGGATCCGAACCCTCAGCGGGAGCACCACCGCACTTCCCAAGCAGCGCACTGTAGCAGTGCGCCACCGGGCCGGCCCGGAAGAAAAACTTCTATATAAAAGAATACAGGACTTTAATTCTGTACAACAGATCAATTAAAACAGATCAAGAAGCAACTATACAATGATTTTTAAAATAAGTTTTTTCTGTTAGACTCAAAGACATCTACAGACTTGCTTCTTTGTTGCTGAAGTTAGATCTTGAAGGCCAACATTCAGTGTCACATTCCTAAAAAATATAGTGATGGAAACATTTAACATATTTTGGGCAAATACCAAAATGAGATAAAACTAAATGTAACTGCAAAGTTTAAAAATAACTAAAGCAGCTCTTTGAGATTTGTCTAAATGAGAACAGAAAAGAAAAACAAAAAACAAAATAAAAACCACCATATTTTAGAAGCTCTCTCTGCAGAACAAGTCTATTGATTTACATGGTTTAAGGTCAAAACACACAAAAACCACATCACTGTCCTCCCTTACCAAGCCAAGCTAAGAAAGACTGGCTGAAAGACTCACATTCCATACTATATATGATCTTTGCCAACTGTAGCGGGTCCAACCTTCAGACACAGATTCAAAAAATATCCCAGACACAGATCAAACTTGAGTTGTGAGAAACATCCCTAATCTTTATTTCCATTTGTTTGATACAGCACCAATGCACACAAAGAACAATTAGTATTCTTTCTACCCCTCTTCCAAGTACGATCAGCTTAAACAACAGAAGAATATTAACAAGCCTGTCGCCTCTTCTGCCCCACCCCACTGCTGTTTCATTCCCCCTCTCCTGAGCAAAGCGCTACTATGAACTTCCATTTTTAGTGATTAAAGAATAAGAAAGGGCTTTTAAGGAATAAAGAATATTCAAGAATGAAGAATAAGGAAGGGTGCTTAAGCAAGAAGAGTAGCTATCTTAAGTACCTAGGAACAGACCAGAGGCACAGAGCTAGAAACCATTTCACTTTGCAGTGACCTCCTTATCCATCCTGAATTTTTTAAGAAAGGTCTGGAATTTCTGGCAGGAAAAGAAGTACAGACTTAATGCTTAGAAGCTTTCTTGAATTTAACATTCTCAGGTCACACTTCTAGTAATGACAGTTGTGCTTCTAAGGGAAGGTCAATTAAAGAATCCCCTGCATAATGTAATATTTCTAAACTCATAAAATGTTTTGTCCCTCCCTACTTCCTAGCAATATATAATTGATCCTCCAGGCCTTTAGACAGAGAGTGGATTGGGAGTCAAACATTTCATTACCTTAGTCATAAACCAAAACATTTTTAGAGATGGGAGGGAGCATTTAATCTACCTTTATCATTTTACAGATGAGGAAAATAAGGTTGAAAATAGTTAAATGACTTATTCAAGGTCACAAGCAGGCTAATGCTGGAGCCCAGAAGCAAAGCCATTTTTTTCTGAGTCCTATGCCCACAGTGAGGTTAGTCTGGCTCTCTTTAATCCTTGGAGTAAAATCCCTAAATACTACTCTCCTCCAAAAGCATTTCTACTAGAATCTCTTCTTACATCTAATCAACAGGATAACTACCCACCACATAAAACTGGTCTTATATCAAAACTGTCTAGGTTGATTTCATTACACTTTGGTCAATTTTGAATAGAACAGTAAGTTTTGTTTTTTTTTTTTTAGAAGCTCTCCCCCTCAATTCCCTAATTCTTCCTTGTTTTCAAGAACTATAATTTCAAAATCATGGACTTT